AACAGGAGATGCTAATGAGCCAGAAGCCGCTGAGCCTGCAGATCAAGATCAGAATCATACCTTATCAGGCCATTCCCCATGGCATTTTCTGATCCCAAATGTTTCACTTTCTTGCAGAAGACAAACAAACAACAACAACAACAACAACAAAAAGAAAGAAAATCCACTGTCTAGTCTCCTGTGTGCTATGTAATTCAGTGTGAAGGAACTCAGCGGTCTAATCTATCCACCAAAACCGTCCTTGACTTGTGCAATGAGACTTAGAGCACCCAGGCTGCCATGAACGAGACTTGGCTGGATCCTCTCCCAGGATCTGTGAGCAGAGAGAAAACAACCTTCTCATGCACAGGAGCAGCGAGGAACCCTGCTGAGAGCTCCCCTGGCCAGAGGGCTGCCAGGGCGCCCTTCACCTGACATCAGGTCGGTCACTGTGGTGCTTGCAAACAGGAGCCCAAGGAGCAAAGCGAGGCGAGCAGTCTGAGCCACGCAGGTGCCCCCTTGCTTTCCCCACTGCCAGCACAAGGGCCCTGCATGGGGGCTGCAACTGGGGCTTCTTCCTCAGGGAGGGGAGGAGAGGCCGGGGGAGGCCGCAGCGCAGCAAAAAAAAAAGCCGCTCGCGCTCTCAGCTGAGTAATGCAGGCCCATTTGTTCTGGGTGACATTAATGCTTTGTGCCATCCATCTCAGACTCCTTAAATTACCTTTTTATGGCCAAAATCCTTTTCATAATTGATAAAAATCTCTTTTTTATATCCCCAGTTATTGAAAAAAATTGTGAAGTTTTTTTATTCCTCATTACAGTTTTAATACAAATGTGTTTTCCTCAGCTGAGTAATGCAGGCCCATTTGTTCTGGGTGACATTAATGCTTTGTGCCATCCATCTCAGACTCCTTAAATTACCTTTTTATGGCCAAAATCCTTTTCATAATTGATAAAAATCTCTTTTTTATATCCCCAGTTATTGAAAAAAATTGTGAAGTTTTTTTATTCCTCATTACAGTTTTAATACAAATGTGTTTTCTATTGACAGCTGCCTGGAAGCCCTGATGGGCCTAGAGAGAGAGGCTATTAGAGGGGTGGGAGAAGAGCCCAGCGCCCCATTCCAGCGGCCAGCCCAGTGCTCACAGCAGCCCTCGCGCTCCCAGAGCCAGGGTGCTCACAGCCCGGTCTCCAGTCTGGCAGGCAGAGGGCACAGGCCACCACGCAGTGGGGCAGGTTTCCTGTGATGGGCACCAAGCCCTCAGCAGGCCAAACAGGCCCTTTCTAACCTGTATCTAGCTCCCCGTGTCTATTAGCAGCATACAGGGGGCTGACTTCAAAAGCTACCTCCACACAGCACTGCTGGAGTGCTGTACCCAAGGACAGAGCCAAGGCCAAAAGCAACACGAGCCCTGGACTTGGAGGTTTTGCAGCATCTATCCCTCACAGCTCCATGCAGTTGTGCAAGTGACCACACCAGGCATTAACAATCTTGTGCAAAACACTACTGTGAGGCTGGGCAATGCTGAAGGAAGCTCAGCACATCTCCTGGCATCCTGGGTGGGTTAGACAACACTGTCAGCCTGAGAACAGGCTTCCTGGGCCATAACGTGATCTGCAGCACCACGACCTAAAGACCTTGTGATCTAGCAGGGTATAAACCTCTTCTCTAGGGCAACATATGGAGCTGGCTTCAGAAAATGGATCACATTCCCTTGGATGCCACAGGACATGCAGCAAAGCACCCTGCTGAAGGCTGAGTTGCTCTCCAACAGCTGAGCACTGCTTCAACAGTTTTGCAGACCAGAAGTAAGCATGTGCCTTGCCAGGGCTTAAAATCCTGATAAACAGTTCCAGAAGGAAGGGAATCAATCCATCCTTCCCCATTTCTGGCAGAGCAAAGGCTGCCATGCTATACCAAGAATGCTTAGGGGAAGAAGAGGCATCCCCAAAAATCATCGTCTGTGCGAGTGCATCTTGCTTCACAACACAGAGCACGGCACAGGAGGTGCCTCCACCACACGTACTTCACTTGCGAATCACAGTCAAATCATCGACATAACCTGCCCTGCTCAATCAGCGAGCTCCGTCACTGTACGGCTGCAAGCGGCATGGAGGCTTCTTGCAAATGGCAAAATAGTTCCTGAACAACAGGTAAAAGCTGCAATTATCTGTGGATGAAAAGGATGGTCTCCTTGGAGGCACTGAGTAATCAAGCAATTAGGAATTACTTCCCATTACTGCTCCCACAAAGCAGAGCTGGACCGACATCCTTTTAAATGTCTGACTTGCCATCTGCCTAAGCCCTTTGTACAATTTGGCTTCAGCATTGAAAAGTCTCAGCCTACGGGCTGTCCCCAATCCTTTCCCCCAGCTTTGAACAGAACAAACACTGGAAGCAACAAATTCAGCCACTGGCATATTCTTGGAGCAGAGCCTGTTCTGCCCCTCATCCTTCCCCAAGCAGCACAGACTGAGATGCAGTGGGGTAAATGCATGTGCAGACAGAGCTACTAGCGGTCAGGGCAGAGAGCTGATCAGGATCATCTGGGATCTCTTTCTTAATAGTATCCAAGACTGCTCCAGCTTCAGCAATTCCCACTCAGCTCTGAGAAGGCCTCAACAGCTGGACGGAGAAGCTAGAGATACAAGGGATGAGACAAGGGAAGAGGAGGAAAGCCAGAGCCTCGGTCCCCTCCTGCGGCCAGGCAGGCCCTGCCCTGTGCCCTACGCCAGCGCCGCCGTGGCAGGGCAGGGGCGATGCCATCCCTGGTGCTGGGAGCAGAGCTCCTGGGCAGGCGCCGCACCGGCACAGGAACTGTGGGGCTCACAGCGGCATAACGGGGTCTGTGCCCTGGCTCCCAGCCACACAACTTCAGGCAGACCCCAGGGGCAAGGATTCCCCCGAGGATGTGCACTGGTCCGAACTATATATAATTTATTTTTATTGCCTATACTTTAGACCCACCTGAGAAGCCTGCTCTTGTGCCTGCTGGAGGTGATAGAAGTGCTACTACTGAATCTCAAAGCAGCAGGGTCAGGCTCAGGTCCCCCAGGAAGATTCTCTCAGTGACATTTTCTCCTTTTTCAATTCCTCTGCAAGTTCCCAGGTGTCACACTGGCCCCACAGGAGAAAGTGTCAGGATCCCTCTCTCCATTCCTCACTGCTCTGACACTATAGCTTGCCCCTTCTTCCATCCGTATTTCAGCTAAGTATGTTGCATTAAAATGTAAGAAAGATATAGCTACGCTGGAATTAAATTTGTTCCTGAAGTAACTCCATTAAATCTTCTGGGCTTCAGCAAAGACAACTTTGGTGCATTAGATTTTCTCAAGGCCTTCTTGTTTGTAAATACCTTGATTTTTTCCTCTGATACCTCTGATTTTAATACTGCCCAACTTCAGCAGTTCCTTTATTTTTTGTCCATCTCATACTCTTCATCTCTCTTACTTTTTTAATCATTGCTTTCTTCCTCTCATTAGCATTCCCTTTCTTTTAATTTCTGTCTTTTTTCTCTCTCTCTGTCTCTTTAAAATTAAATATCACCCAGCACTGCCCATGTGGGTGAAGTGAATGCTAAGAGGGAAGGCTGCTGCGGAGACGGGATTCGAGCTGCCTCGCTGCGAATCAATGAGGCATGGAGGACTTGTCTGGCTCTGGAAAGGAAACCAGGGCGCATCGGCAGCAGCTGAAAACACAGGAGGAAGGGAGAGGGCCCATCTCTGTGCACCCTGCTCTGCCACAGGGAGGTCACACGGACTGAGCTAGAGGCGGCTGCTTCTGCAGTTTAACAGGGCTCACGTGGGGCGGCTGCTGCTGGGAGCAGCGCAGCGGGCAGGGACTGGCAGGGAGCGCGCGGCACAGCCTGTCCCACTGAGCCAGGACACGGAGCCGCTGGCTGCAGTGCTACCAGCCCGCGGAGGAGCGTCCTGCTCGCAGCTGGGGAGGGAAGAGGCAGGTCTGGGGCTCACGTTAACCTGCCGCTAAACTGAGGGCAGATATTCATCGTCCTTCCTGACCAACAGTTAGGCCCTATGACTACACTTGGGCAGACCCACTCCATCCAAACTGATCCTTAATAAACTGAAGGAGTCAAAATATTTTGCCTACTCACTGTGTATCCTGTGGTACCTCTTCCCCACACCCTCAGACAGCCAGGAACACCCCCAGATAGCCCCCCCTACATTTCTTTGAATGAAGTGATACACATGCATACACGGCTTCCCTTCTTCAGCCTCCTACCTTCCCTCCATTTTTGCAAACATCTTTGCACACTGGTGCTGCTTCCCCCCTCACCATGTCAGCAGTGATCCTTGAAGCGCTGATCCTCAGCCTGGGCTAGGAGGGTGAGGGGAGCTCTCCTCAAAAGAGGCAGGATGCAAAGTTACAGGATTCACTCCCAAGGCGCCCGGTTCTCACAGCTGATGAACAGGGGTGCCCCGCTCCTCTGCTCACTGTGCTGTGGGCTGCTCAGGGTTAACTGTGACACAGCCTCCTTGGCTCCCTGATACCTGACTGCAAGCGCCAAAAGTGATTTATGCTATTATTAAAGGGATTTATTTACTTTTTTCTTTGGGGGTTAATTAGGGGCTTGAAAAAGTAAAGGGCTGTCAGTGCTGGCTGGAATTGCTCTAGTGCAGCCGGGGGAGAGCAGTCTGCACACGTGTCCCCGAGCATGAGTCCCTGCTCAGTGCAGCCCATAGCCCCCCATCCTGACCTCCAGCAACCCTGCTCTCCTGGCACAAGCTCCTGGGCACGCTGCTCTGCCAAGGCCTGTCATTGCCACCTGGCAGTCCTCACTCTACTATTCCTCTATAATTTTCTCCTTTCCTAAACTTACCAGCAATGCTCATCAACAGGCAGAGAAAATGTGCATGGCACTCCCGCAGGGGCCAACAGGAGACATCTCTCCTCGACCTCTCTTGCAGCTGAAGATCAGCGGGCACCTCCTTGCTGCCGGCTCCCTTCCTCCAGCTGCACATGGCTCACTGAGACCCAAGCAGCCAGCAGCTGCTCCTACCTCCTTGCCCAGCTCCTCGCGGATGACCTGCTGGATCTCCTGCCGGGAGCTCTGTGGGGCCTGGCTGTGCAGCACTCTGAGGGTGCGGGTGTACTCCTCAGGCAGAAGGTAGTCGAGTGCTCCCAGGTGCTGTCCCACCTTGATGAAGGTGCCTCGGTTGGCGCAGCACAGCTCCCGGAGGCGCTCAGCGGAGCGCAGGTGCACCTGCAGCAACAGCACAACGTATTACATACATATACAGACACGCACACGCACACACACACACACACACCCCTACGTACAATTCACCCAGTATTTGAGCACGCCAGGAAATCCCTTTAACAGTTTCGGCCATCATGATCAAATCTATCAGCTACGATCCAGGATTCTGCTCTGATTCAGAAGGGGTGGGACCAGACCAGGACAAGATGTTCTACGCTAAGAGCAACTTCCAGACTTACCTGCACATGTATTACAGCCAGTGTCAGTATGCTAGCTCTGGGCTCTGTCCTATAACACATCCTTGCAGAGCAACATGTCCACCCACAGCACAGCACTGATTGGTCACTATGATTTACTGCAATGACACACAATTTAGGAACTCTTTGTCAAAAGGTAGAAGTCTGGACCACGACTATGTATGTTAGACTCACTGCACCGGATTAAGGTGGAAAAAAAACAACAGGTACCAGCCCAGTTCAGATACCTTGCCAAGAACTTGGAAAGAGAATCCATCAAAATTAAAGAAGAATCTAAGCTATCTGACAGTGAGTAAGAACAGTATCTGGGCAGTCCATCATCATCCTCCCCTCACTCAGCAGCTTTCTTCACATTGGCCAAGGAGCAAACACCAAAAGGTAAAGCCTATCACCAAGCACTTGCCAGTCCTGGATTTCAGCTCCTCAAGTTCATTCCGTGTCTCCAGAACACATCAGCTGCTATATCCTTTAGTGACAATGATTTATTCTGCCTTTATTGCTCTCACCACAGAATGCTCCTGCCAAGGACATGGTTATACTCAATACTCTTTAATAAACTTCAGATAACTTTATCCTAGTACATTAATAAATCTAAGCAAATCAATTGCACAAAAACAACTTTGCACCTATCAGTTGGTAATGCCTGATGCTTATCTGAATGAAGGCTGCTAATTCCTCTAGCTTCTGTGTAAGAAGTCAATGAAGGTCAAATTCTTTGTTCACAGACCTCATCAGCCCAGGAGACCCCGAGCTCGTGCAGTGATGGATGCGCCTGTAAGCCTTGAAGTGCACGGCAGGCAGGAATGACGAAGCAAACGTGCCTGGACACACACACACACACACACGTACAATTTCATGTCCATCTTTGCCCTCTGCATGAGGCGGCTCAGCATCATATCACAGGAAAGGGTGCATATACCCCACCTGGGAACATGTCAGGGGACAGGCTAGGTGCTGAGCTGCAGTGCTTGACTACTAGCCTTGGGAAGCGAGAGGAGAAGGCCAAACGTGCGAGTCACACTCGGGATGTGAGACCTGACACCCTCACGTGTGCACATGCGCTTACACACATGCATACAGCCAGCGGGGCAAGCACGCACCACGGCAGCAGAGCCAGCTCACCCCACGGCAGAGGGGCACCGCACACGCCGCGCGCTCAGAAGCTCTCTCATGCGCTGGTACCCACGAGCGCTCCCCCACGTGCCCTCAGGTCCTGCGCTGCCTTTCACAGGGCTGCTCTAAGGCTCCCGCTGGAACAAACTGGCCCCTGCCCAGCCCGTTCCCCTGTGTGTGAGCAGCACAAGAGCAGACCAAAGGGGATGAGGGAAGGAAAAGCACGGAAGGGAACGAGAGAACAAGAAGAGCAGGGAGAGAGGAAGGGCATGAGAGAGAAAGGCAAAGGCAGGGAGGGAGCTGGGTAGTTCGTTGCAGCACAGGGAGTCCTGCCCGTTGGAGGGGAACTGCTTCACGCAGCGCCAGGGCTGGCTCCTTGCTCCCACACTGAGCGAGGGCCACTCCACGGCCCTGCCCCCTGCCACAGCCGCAGCCGGAGCCCCGGAGAGGCCCCCGGGACAAGGCAGCCGCAGTCCTGCGCTCTAACTCGGTGCTGGGCATTGCCAGCTCGGCTTGGAGGCGCCCACCGCCCCACGGGAATCGCTCGGGGCATCAGCTGGTGAATGACCCAAAGCAACCAGAAAGATGGAAAGCCAAAGTGGCTGAAAATGCAGCTGGATGTAGACACACTTGGCTGCAGGGTGTATTTTCCTGTCTGTCACTGCTGCGAAGGAGGCCCTTCACTCCTCTAGCATGAAAGCATTCAAGCTCCTCAAAGTTCCCCATCATGAAGAGATCCCAGACTGCTCCAAGAACACAGCAGGGCCCAGCAAGGAGGAGGAGGGCACTTCTTGCAGAGGGCTCCAGGGACTAAAAAAAAAAAAAAAAAAGAAAAGACTAAAACCTACATGCACAGCATGCTGCCCCCGTGCTTTTATGAACGGTTTGGTGCACCTAAGAGTCCTGAGTGCTGGGTGCCCCAACAGGCCTGGGGAATGTCAGTGCCTGTTGCTGTCAGGGAGAAGATGACTGGAACCCTACAGACCCCTAGAGGCTTGTCTTGAGAGAGGGAAATCAGTCTTTAGGACCAAAATTTTACAAAAGCCCGAACTGTATTAGGAGATATATAGTAAAAACACAGTGAACGCAACTTGCAAGGTCTCATCATATCAATCTGGTCAGGATGCTGGCAGAAAAAATAACCTTCCTAACACTATTAATTGCCTGGCTCTCCCCGAGCCAAGTCAGGGTCCAGAAGCAGCACTTGTTTTCCTCATATATGACCTTTTCCTGGTGAAGTAAGTGTGTTATGTTTCTCTTGCAGTGTCCAGCACTGTTGACCAACATATTCCTGTGCTATGTCCAAGGAAGCACACAGTAAATAGAACTCCCCGGAATGGCTCCAAGCTTTTCCCCTAAAAATCTCCCAAGATCCTGCTCTTCGTTGCATAGGCTCTATACTGTGGGCTCCTACTCTCTTTCTGAGAAGAGCAGCTAGTTAGACATGGACCTGCCTGTATGCAGCATATGCCCATGATCACTCTGCAGAGGAAGGAAGAATTTCTCATACTAGGGATTACTAAGAATAAGCCTCCCTTGGGAAGTGATTTGGATTACAAACACCTACCTGTCTGCATGTGTACACAGCTCCTTCCTCTCTCCACAGGGACTCCTACTCACTCACTCACTCGCTCGCTCACTCACTCGCTCAGCTTCAACAAGATTCATTCTCCATTGGCTCACAGCAGAGCTATCAGAGCTGAAAAGAGGCTGTATTTAACTTTGATTATTAAAGTTGTTTCATATGGGCCATAATGAAATAAATAACTTTCAGCTGCAGAGAGCAGGCACCTCTGGGATGAAGAGGGACATATTTTAATTTATCCTTGATGCAGAACAGATCTGGTTTCTCAAGTATTTCAAATGCTTTTGAAAGAGTACTCACAGAGACCTTAGCAAAGAGGTGCTCTTTAGAGTATCACACACACAAGTGTCAGGAATGGGGCTGATGCTAATCTGGTCTTAAAGGAATGAATTTAGAGGAAACTAAATACCAAAGGTAAAATATACTGGTAGAAACCAGGGTATCTGTGGAGAGATTATGTAAAAGGGCTCAGGAACACCCCTAAAGACAGCAAGGTAAAACGGTGCAAGCATCTCCTCAGATGGAAAGTCCTTCAGAAGAGTCATTCCAGCCCTGAGGGGCACGCTCATAGCTGGAAAAACGTGAAATGAGGATTAGGAATGCAGAGAGAAAACGTGAAATGCAATTAGCCCAAGACATAACAAACAAAGTCACAGAAATTCCTGGCGATGACGGCAGCCTCCACGATCACTGCAAACACCGACTCCTTGCGAGGGGCGCCAGACCCCTCCGTGCTGCCGACTGCCCTCACCCTGAGCAGCAGCAGCAGCGGCGGCAGCAGCTCCGCACCACCTTGCTTCCCCCCGGACCCCAGGGGGGGGCCCCCCCGCGGGAGCCGCAGGCGATTCCCTGCGCGGGGCAGGATGCTGAGGAGAAGCCTAGCCCAGCCTGCTCCCCGCTCACAGCTGCAAACGGGAAGCGCTCTCCACAACAGCATCGCCAAGAAAATGATGCTCCCAGAAGCAAAGCTGAAGATTTCAATTATATAAAATCTACAGATGAATTTTAAAAGCGGCTGAGATACTAGTAATTATAATAAAAAAGGGATTGTGCATTAAAACTGTTAGCTTCCAGCAAACTGAAGGGGAACAAATGTCGCCCAATTTTTAAAAAAGTCCAGAATAATCTGGGAAATTATGGTCCTGTTATCTTTTATTCTGTATCAAATAAATTAGTTGTGACAATAATTACAGAGAATACTAAAATCATCTAGCTAAATGTGATATGACTGAAAAAAAGCCAGGAGGGATTTGGAGAGGAAAAAAGAAATCATTCTTCTCCAGTCCACTAAAATTCTCTGAGCATCTTAACACAGGAGTCAATAAAGAGAAAGGGAGAAGATTTATTGGGACTTTCAAGTGGCTTTCAATAAATCCCCTCACAAAAAGGGAAAAGAAAACTCGGTCATTATTGAACCAGATGCAAGGACGCTCTTTCAAATCATATGTTCGTTTTAGCTCATTCTCCCCTCAAAATTCCCTCTCTGCAACACCAGATCGAGCACTTCAGGCAGTAACAACAGTGAAGATCCCTAGTTAGGACAAGACTGCAATATTTAGCAGTGTTTTTACCTACCACAGCTTCATTCCACATGCTCTGAACAAGTTTAGACAAGATGATAGTGCAAGAGCTGTCTACATCAGCACCTACAATGTCATTATTTCCAGTAAGTCTGAACTAACACTAGAAACCCTGAGAAATGTGCTGAAAAGAGAAAGAGGTAGAGATAACATCCACCAGGCAGAAGGGGCTCTGGAGGATGGATGTGCTGCCCTGCATCACTGTCAAAATTTAACAGCCAAGTGACCCATTACACCCATTCTAATATCAGGGTTTAATTTCCCTGCTAGAGAGAACTGCACAATGACAAAAATTCCAGGAGATGCAATGGAAATTACTCACCAGTGTGGAAAAATAAGCCCTGCCAAGCCCCTTCCAAAGACAGACAAACAATCAATAGACTGGCAGATCACCCTGAGCATCAATGGCCACAAGGTTACACATGTTGGAAGGAACAATTTGTCCTGTCTGCACACACTGATGGGCTC